AAAACGGCCCTTCTAGGCCTTGGGCACCTGTGAGTTTTACAACCTCCTCCTGATCCCAAGGCTCCCACAGAGGTACTTGGGTCCACGGATGGCTGCGAGATTATCGCTGTGGTGGGGGACTCTGAGCTGACGGTGGAATCCTATGCCACCATCTTGCTGATTTCACCCTTCTAGAAATCTTGAAGTCAGACAATATTCGTTCTCTCTTTTGTCCTCCTTTGTAAAAATAGCTTTGACTTTTCTAGGCTGTTTTCATCTATGTATAAATGTTATAGTTGTTTTACAACTGGCTCGTAGATTTCTTTAAATAAAGTATTCTGTAATTTGGGATTGTGCTGAATCTAAAGATAGGTTTGGGAATAAAGGACATTTGAACAATATGGAACGTGCCAATCAATGGACACGGTCATCTTTCCATTTGTTTAGTGTTTACCATGTTTTCTGAACAATGTTTTATAGTTTTCAGTGTCAGGTTATGCACTGGTTTCGTTAAATTTATTCTATCGTGTTTTATTTTTTATGATGCCATTATCAATATTATCAACTGCAAACATTTTCATTTTCAAATTGTTCTTTGGTAGTATAACCAATAAACAATTAGATTGATTTTTGTATAACGGCCTTGCACCTCCTGACTATGCCAAATTCATTCATTATTTCAATTAGTTTATTTTGATTCTTTCAGATTTTCCATGACGACAATTGTGTTATCTGTGGATAAACAATATTTGGACTCCTGTCCTACAAATATGCATATATAAACTTTACAGTGCTTTAGTTTTCGTGTCCACCACTTCTCCTTCTGTATTGCTACCCAACATTTCCATTCCGTGTTTTATGTATACAATTAGAAACCATTATTTGTTTCTTTATCTACGATCATTGCCTGAATTTGCCTATATTTTTACCATCTTGAAATTTTTTGCTTCAATTTCAGAATATCCTTCTGGAACATTTTCCTTCTCGAAGTTCATCTTTTAGAACTTCTGTTGGTGGTAACTTCCTCAATCTTTATTTTTCTGTAAATGCTTTATGTTTCTTCTTAACTACAATTGAGTTAGACGGTTTCTTTCTATCAATATCCTTTAGCTGTTATTTCCCTATGTTTTGGCCTATTCACTGTTCTTGTTGAGATTTTGCTGTCTCATCCATATAATATGGTCATCCAATCTTTGAAAACTACTTATTTCAGCAACCAAA